GCAACTATGCTCTTGAGTCTCGACTCTTGATGTAAAAGCTTCCAAAAAGTGTATCGCCATGTAAGGGTTGAAAGGGCCAAGCTTTTTTTGGCGGAGTAGATGCGCGGAATCGGACAGGAGCTTAAAAATACAAAAAGAATCAGACAGGAGCAACGGTCAATCCTTCCTGGTAGGAAGCAATCAATTCCATTGACTGAACTTGACTCAAGTTTTTTTTGTTGTTGTTGGAAGGAAGCAATCAATTCCGTTTCCTGTTGTGATGATAATAATATTAACAAGTAATTCTAGCTGGTATAGTATATCTGACAGCTAGAATGTGAAGTTTCTCTGGTATCACAGGGGGCTGAGACGATAGATTAACCTTTTGGCAGGGGTGGAGCAGGGGTAAATGATCTTAAATCCTTCTTTTAAAAGAAGCAATCAATGCCGCCACTGTCCCAGGGTCCTGCAACCATAATGAAAGGAAGTGTGGTGTGTGTCAACAATGTAAGGGATGCTGGACCCAGTTTCCAGCACTGTTTTTCTTCTTTTTTTTGGGAAAAAAGGAGGGAGGAAAAGAACGTACGCCGTCGTACAGTTATTATATAGACAGAAAATTGCCCCAAATACAGGTATAATGACCATACATTCTCTTCAGGGGAAGACTGTAGGCCGTTTTCTCAAGCAAAGTCAGTTTGGCGAATAGAATGATTAAGGAAATCTGCTGAAGTAGAAGAAGCTTCTTTGAACTATCTCAGGACAAGTAGGCAGGCCTCGGAACAGTAGTCAAGGTGACCAAAAAAGAAAGGAAAGAAAAGCAAATGAATTATATCATGATTATGATGAGATGAGGTATAAGCTGTTTGTCATAGAATAGTCTGTGGGGGATTAACAAGCCCAGGGTAGCAGCTTTTTTGTTTGTCTTTTTTCCTTGTTTCAGCGTTCATTGGGGGATTGATAACGGTGCCAATAAGGGAAAAGGAGGGGTAGACTGGGAGAGATAGGGTGTGTGTGTGTGTGTGTGTTTTAGATTTTCGCCACAGCAGCCCCAATTCCACCCAGATGAATAGATTCAGAATCAAAGCAGTCTTTGTCCTGTTGCAGACAACGAGAGCATTTGAGATGTCCACCATATTAAAGCAAATTTATAATTAGACAGTTTTTTGGTTGTCCTTGGGGTACCCCTTTCATTGTTCTTGCAGCTCCCCTTTCATTGTGCCTCTTACGCACAAGGCTTCCCAGTGCCCACGTTGATTGTGGTTGAACGGCAGCTGTGTGTGTGTGCGCGTGCGTGTGTGTCTGTCTCTGTGTGTACACACACACACACAGCTCCCCAAAATCACATGCCAGACATGAACCCAAATATTCGCGCGTACATCCTGCATCGGCCAGGACATTTCAGCGCTGTGACCTATGCAGACAATTCATGGGCCTTATGGGACAATGGAGGAGGTAGGGTGCACACGGTAAGTAGCATTAACTCTTTCTATAACCAAGTAGCAAATACTCACTCAATTTGGATTATCCTTCAGGAACAATA